GTTAATAAGACATCTCAGCTTGTAATATTATTGAGAAATGACATAGCTCAAAGGCCATATCAACTATTATATATTTTTCTTTGCTAAATAACAGTATGTTTATTATTAGCCTTAGATTATGTGGAGTGTCCACCATAGAAGTCTCTGTAAATGAGTTGTTACTTAAGAAACGATAATGTGTAAGAACATGCATATTAATATAAACCTGTGACATGACTTGAAGCCAGAACAATTGTCAAAGGAATCAATTAATTAATCATCTTCTGACTAATCAGATTTGCAGTTTTGAGCACTCAGCAGCACTAATGCTATCTTTATCCCATCTTTAGCTCATCATCAGGGCTAAATGAGAAAACCTACATGTGGCCAGTGCATTGTTCTGGAAGTGTCTGGATCTTTAAGAATATTTGTGAATCACTCCTCCTTCCTCCTCCTCCTTCCTCCTCCAGTGTTTCTTTCTCATGGCTCTCCTCCCGGCGTGTCTGGACTGGGATACGGAGGCAGCGTGGGCGACTGTGTTATTAATTACTGCAGATTCTTGGCTCCCGAGTTGCGACTGTGTTCTCAAAACATGCCATGAAAACATTCAACTCAAACAGCTTTTCCTTCCATCTTGCCTTTTGGTTTGATGAATTTTTGAGTCTGTCTAAAAGATGCAGGGACATTTTTGAGTTAGTAGAAGAGGATGCAATTATTTTATTAATAGACACACACAGAAAAGTATACTCACACTATAGCACTCAGCTCCAAAATTATTGGCATCCTTCAAAAGAATGAGCAAAATGGTTGCATAAAATCAACATTACACATAATGATTGGCATTTTCCCTTCAAACAAAAATATTTACATTTCTTCTATCAAAAGAGTATTATAAGAACATAATTTCCCCACTAATAGACCAAAAACATGCATGTCAAAAATATTGACAGCCTTAAAATATTTGAAATAAATGCATTCAAATTGTCATCTTTGATTTTTTTTTTCTTTAGGAAATTGCTCTCAGTCTCTAGACACTCTAGAAGCTGTTTCCTTTGATGATGAAATATGAGGTTGCACACATATAAAATCTCTTTATCATACATCACTATGGGGAGAACCAAAGCAACACAAAAAATGAGATGATTCGTAACTCAGGTAATACAGGACCATAATTTAAAAAAGTTTTGAAAAGGTTGGAAATTTACCAGGAATAGGACACATAAGCATACTGCGAGGAGGATGGTGAGGGAGGCAAAGAGCAGCCCAATGATCACAGTTTCAGATTTGTACAGTATAATAGTAACATCTATTTTGGGGTTGTCAACTAACAAAATCAGCTATTGATTCAATTCAATTCAGTTTTATTTGCATAGTACTTTTAGCAGTGGACATTGTCACAAAGCAGCTTCACAGAAATCTGGATGTAAATTTAGATCCCTAATGAGCAAACCAGAGGAGACAGTGGCAAGGAAAAACACTAAATGCCACGTCTACAGTGATAAGCTATTTGGAAGGGTTACAGTAAAGAAGTGCTTCCTGAGAGCTTTTATTGGTCAGATGTGAGCTGTGGTGAGGTGATTTTTTTGATAATCACCTCAACACAGCTATTGTTTGATAACAGTTTGATAATATATTTTGGTTAAATAAAACTCTACATATCCCCATGTGGATAAGCTCAAAATTCATTCATCTTCAGTAACCGCTTTATCCTGGTCAGGATGGGGGATAGATCCGGAGCCTACCCCAAGAACACAGGACATGAGGCGGAAGAATTCACCCCGGATGGGTTGCCAGTCCACACTCATTCACTACTAGGGGAAATTTAGCACAGACAATCCACCTACTACCACTTTTTTGGGAGGTGGGAGGAAAACCAGAAAACCCAGAGGAAACCCACACGAACATGGGGAAAACATGTTAAACTCCACACAGACAGTAACAACCAGAGCTCAGGATTGAACCAGAGCTGTGAGGCAGCAACACTACCCGCTGTACCACCACGCTCTACTAAACTCAAAATATGAATCAATAATGAAATAAAAATAAAATGCTATAAAAATTGTCAGTTTTCTTGAAGTGTGCCAGTAGAGTTGACCGCATATCAGTAGAGAAATCAGTAGTGGGTCTGCCACATAGTACTCGTCTAATTATGTTTAAATTCTCTTCATGGTAGCTCCTGGTGCTGTTCGTAATGAAACAGCATGGTCTCTGTGCAGTAATGAGGGCTCTTTTCTGTCTGCATGTCTGGTCATCTCTGCTTATTAAACATATTGCTCTGTGCTCTAATTGGTGTGTTTTTGTTAGCAGGTCTGACCCCAGGGTTGTGTCATTGCTGTGCACACACAGACTCGTCACCATGGGAAAGCAGAACAGCAAGCTCAGGCCGGAGATGCTACAGGACCTGAGGGAGAACACTGAGTTTTCGGACCATGAGCTACAGGAGTGGTACAAGGTGAGATAAAGCAGCTGTAATAAATTATATGTTACAACAAGTACCTATATTATTCCTTGACAATAGTGAGACATTTCTAGTCTTCCAGCAGCCAAAGGGTCAACAGCCTTTCTGTCACATGATGGTATTTATGCACATCCTGGGCCACTAGATGACAGCAACATAAAGGCACCTATTTTCCTGGAGATATAGCACTTTAAGAGTACAATATGTTGTTTTGTGTAGTCAGCTTGGGAAATGAGCTGCAGTAAGAGGCTCTGTATCTCAGGGTCAGGCACTGATGTGATGGCCCTGAGGTGTGGCATCAATGCCTGCTGTAAATACACACATATTTGAATGAATTAGGCAATGTGTGGTGAAATGTAAGCTACAGTGACTCATGCTGGCTAATGGGCTGAAAAGGTCTTAAACACTCTGACCTGCATTTTTATTCACAGGCTTCCCACTCAGGGGGTTGAAACAGGGCCTTTTCATGGCTAATTCATATGAGGAAATGTTTCTCAACATAGTTCATAAATGCTGTATTATAGATGATGATTGAGGTGCATTGGCTGAAAGTGGGGCTATAGTGGTTAAAATGTGAACTACATAAACATTGGGATGATTTCTTTACTCATTGACCCCATCTCCCATATGTGACACACAAAATCCCGCCTCCTAGAATCCACAGTGGCCAGTGGAGTTTATCCGCATTAGTTTTGTAGCCAGCTAGTTAACGTTTGATCATCTTATTTTACTTATTTTGTCTTATTCTAAGGTATGACAAAGTCAGCTTCAAAGCACACAAAATACTGACACACTAAATAACTTCCTAATTTGTTAAATTTTCTAAATCACGATCTTAACCCAATCGCTTAGCCATCCCACCAACAGATTGAAATCCCCTGAAGCATCACTGCTTCACGATTCTTTGAGTGCAAACTGTAAAGTTAAAAGTATCAGTCCAACTGGTGTTATATGGGATGCAATAAAATTGGGGCTCTAGACGGTACAAGGAGAACTGCAAAAACAAGAGAATGATTTGTTTACTTGGTGACCCCACCTCCCATCCATGCACATGTACACAAAGCCCCGCCTCCTAGAATATACAGTGGCCAATAGAGTTCATCCACATTAGTTTTCTAGCCCGTTAGTTAACTTTTTATCTTCTTATTCTACTTGGTAAGTTATGAGAAATTTAGCTTTGTAACACACAAAATACTGACATGCTAATTAATTTACTGATTTGTTAAATCCCTAAAATCTCAATATTAATAAAGTTGACATCCCCTGATCTTTAGAGCACTGTTGCTTCTAAATTCCTTAAGCGCAACCCATAATTGGTTTCTGCTAAAGCTAGAAATATCAGTCTATCGATCTCCAGTTTGTTACAGTGGACTATTCTCTTATATCCTTCTATTCCTTCTCACTGCTGCATAAAATTATAGAAAAAAAAGGATTTCTTGTAGTGCCTAGTACATTGCTTGCTCTATCTCTTTGTACATAGATCCATTTCATCCACCAATTTCTAGTTGACATGTAAGGTGATGTGTTTGGTAAGGTGGTGTGTCGCACCACAGCATAAATGAGTGTCTTATTAAGATGTATGAAAACCACAGGTATGTTTGATCACCTCTGGATGGTGGAACATAGTAAATCGAAGTGCCTCCTGACTGATAAGAGGAAGTCTGCTCTGTTCTGTGATGATACAGACTGTCCGCACCTTTTTAAAGTTTGAGGGTTTAATAGAAGACTCCATCTGTACCCCAGTGATTGAATTATGTCGATAAAAATTTAAATACACAGCTATATTATATAGCACAAATTCAAAATAACTGTTACACGCTAACAAGTCAAATTTTTGTTACTTAAAGTTTTCGTAATGGTTTTGTGGTAGCCATGCATGATCAGATCAGATGAACTATACAGATTTAGAGCTTCATTTATAAATACATCCGAAGAAATTTTTTAATCACGTTCAGGAATTCTTCATAAGAATAAGTTTGCATAAACATTTATTGGAAAATTTCAACAACTGCTCTTAGCCTTTCGATATTAGTGAATTTTGAGTAAACTGGTTTTTGGTTCTTTGCTCAGTACAGGGAAATATGTAGAAATTATTGTCCATCGTAATCACAAATACACCACAGGTAAAGGAGATTAGATTGAAAAAATTATGTATTTTTTTAAGCTTTGGATCAAGAGATTAAGATTTATTTTCCTTTTTCTTTAGGGCTTCCTTAAAGACTGCCCAAGTGGCCACCTGAACGTGGAGGAGTTCAAGAAGATATATGCCAACTTCTTTCCATACGGTGATGCCTCCAAGTTTGCAGAGCACGTTTTCCGCACATTTGACACCAACAACGACGGCACCATTGACTTCCGGGAGTTCATCATCGCTCTGAGTGTGACCTCACGGGGAAAGCTGGACCAGAAGCTGAAATGGGCATTCAGCATGTACGACCTGGATGGCAACGGGTACATCAGTCGTGAGGAGATGCTTGAGATTGTGCAGGTCAGAGAGCATGTTGAGAGAATTAATACAAACATTCATTAATTCATTTTAGTAACCACTTAAATCTAGTCAGGGTCCCTGGAGGACTAGCGGTTAGGCCACAGTGATCTCACCTGCGGCTTGGGTTCGATTCCCGGCCAGGGAACCGCATGCAACAGTGTGGTCTCAGTGCCAGTCCCAAGCCCGGATAAAATTGGGGAGGGTTGCGTCAGGAAGGGCATCCAGTGTAAAAACTGTGCCAAATCAAAATACACGGACCAACGATCCGTGGTGGCGACTCCTAACAGGAGCAGCCGAAAGAGGAACAACAACAACAACAACTTAAATCTAATCAGGGTCACAGAGACTATCCCAGGAACACTGAACATGAAGCAAGAATCCACCCTGATTTGGGACACCAAACCATAGTAGGGCACCGTGCACACACTCAAACCAGAGAACCCAGAAGAAACAGACACAAACAGAGGGAGAACATAAAAAAACTCCACACAGACAGTAACCTGACCTCAGGATTGAACTGGGGACCCTGGAGCTGTGTGCAGCAGCAATGCTACCCACCACCCTAGTACAAACATGAAAAATGATCAAAATTTACAGATAAGCTCTTGTTATATTTGGAGTTACGCTGCTCGTCTCAGCTTAGTCCACCATTTATTTTTAAAATTCGCCTTGGCCCAATTCTCATCTTTGAAATTAGATATTTTGATAACAGAATTTTAATTTCATCAAAAAACCCACCGTGAGGTTCCAGTTCCAGTGCACTTTGTTGAGCTGGTGTTTCACTGACGGATGTTTGAGTGGCATGTGCTAAAACTGTTGTGCTGTAATCTGCAATCTGCACATGCTGATTACACAAGCTGTTCTGTTATAGATGGGCTTGTGTCAATTTTTAAATGCTGTTAATATGAATGCACTGTTCGTCTTAGTTCACCATATGTTACATCTTTGGCTGCATTGATGAGGCACACACTCACACACACACACACTTTTGTCTTACTATACTTGTGAGGACTTTCCAGCGCCTTAATGCTATGCTTACACCTGAATCTGACCCTCACCTTAATGTAAGTAATCATAAGCAAACCTTTTGGCTCTTTTAGTTTTTTAAATAAAAGCTGCAGTTTTTGTCAGAAAAAAGAAAAATAAATAAATATTCTCGAACCAGCCAATTGTCCTCACAACATCAAAACTGTCAGATGTTCCTATCCTTGCAGGGACATTTGGTCCTCACCGAGATATAAAACATACCTACACACTAGAGGATGCACGACTACAGATTTTTACTTGTCCCCCCATAATAAAAAAATTGGTCGGATAGTAATTTTTTCCATAGTTAAAGCAAACTGTTTCAGGACATTGCTATTTTTAGGCTGCTTTATTTGTGAGGAAAGAACACGCCAAACCTAACTTCAGTTTACAGCCATACACAAGCTACAAATTAAATTTCCAGCTTCAATGCTTTTTTTAGGCTGCACTGTTAAAGACGACAGTAAATAAATAGGTGAGATAAATGTGCAAAATAATAACTGTGCATCACATTATTCGACTATTTAAGGATGTACCAATTTTTAAAATGCACTTGTGTGAATAAGCGTGCGGCTCAGTTGGAAACACTGTTTCTGAAACTGAGAGTGGCAGGCTCTAAACTAGCTGAGTGGGATTGGATAGTGATGTGCAGCTTGCAGCTCTGAAAGCACTTTTTCACACAGCACTTGTAATAACAGAATTCACTCTGCCAGAGTGTAAGATTTTTTAAAAATTTTTATTTGGCTTTAAAAGACAACAAAAATACCTGTTGCAGGAATTAAAGGAATTGGGTGGGGCTGAGATTGAAAAACAGACTTGTTCACACCTCTCCACTTCATGCAAAGTGATATCAAAGTGGTAACGGTTTATTAAAGCCAAAAAATAAAAAAATAAAATAAAATAAAAGACTTTTTCCAGTGTAGTCTTATGTAGTTGACTGTAGAATTGGCTTCATCTAGTCTGAAGTACATTTCGCTTGCTTTCTTTACCACCTTCCTGCATCTGCCTCAGTGTTTTTTTCCCCCAGTACCCAGACTAATCTCCACAGCGGCATACCTGATGCACCTGATGGCTTTTATAATGAGATATTCTAGTCTATATGGATGTGTGTAATAGATTGTCAGGTCTGATTCACTAATTGTTGCCTGTCATAAGGCCATGTGGTTCATTAGATTAAATCTACCACCATCAAAAACTCAACTTTCTAAATTTAGACCCCATGCAGTCAGCTTGGCTTGACGTGATTCTAATAAAGGATGTCAGGCAAGGCTAACTGTATATTATCATTGCTGTAGACTCTGTATGCTTTTGCGAGTGCACTCAGGTGTAGAGCTGAAATGCTTCAACTCGTTATTTCACACACTCATTTGTACTGGGAGTTCAGGAGCCTTTGCCTGCAGCCCTGAGAGAGGGGAAGTGCTATTAGTATGTGCTCAACGTGTACAGCTTGTACTCAGCTGCAGTCAGACCAAACAGTGCTCTGTGGTGAATAAAACCCCCTAGCCACTGACCCCAGTGAGGAGATTTATGCAGATGTAGTGGGGGATGGTGGCAGCAGCAGCTATTATTCTGTTCCTTTACGGATTAGACGGTTAAATTTAACTGGGATTTATCCCTGCCTGTAGAATGCCGGGATTATCTATAGGTTTATGGCTGTTACAGTTGGCCGGTGCGCAGTGATTACAGAGCTGTTTCATTTTTTATCATGAGCGCTGCTTTAATGTGGAGCGGGATTAGAGAGGCACTCCACTCTACTGTATCATAAAAAAACAGCAGAGTGTGGAGATCGTGAGTTCGAATCATGAACAGGCCACAGCCATCTGTGACCAGGAGTAGAACTCGCCCTGCTCTCTGAGTAGGGAAGATGGCAATCCTCTGTGTCCTCTTGGTCATTTATAAAACTACTTCAATGCACGTTTCATTTATAAATCCCAAAAAGCTTAATATAATGTGCACCTGCACAAGCTTTAGGTCCTACTCATAAACGGTTATTAACATACGGTTATTAACACACATATTTTTGTTTGCGTGTGAGCTCATTTGCATATAATTAGGAGCAAGATTCTCAATCCATTTTTAGGAAACATTGGTGGAAAAAAAGGAACTTTTAAAAATGTGAATAGTCTAATAGCTCATCTTGGAAGCTTTTTCCTAAGAGCCATCGCAGTTTGGCATCACTGGTCACTTGCAAATTAATGAAATGAATATATTTACTGGCATTCTTTGACAATGTCTTCATTGCAACATTGTGATTGTAATGTAGTCAGTGCACGCAGTAGATTTCATTGTAATGATCTCTTTGGGGCTGGCATAGTGACACAGTGGGTAGTGTTGCTGCTTCACCGCTCCACAGTGCCCAGTTTGATCCTGAGCTGAGTGTAAAGTTTTGCATGTTCTCCCCCTGTCTCTCTGGTTTCCTTCCACCTCCAAAACATGCCAGTAGGTGGATTGGTGATTCTAGATTGCCACTATGTGTGAATGTGTGTGCACATGGTGCCCTGCGACAGATTGGAGTCCTATTCAGGGTGTATTCCCACTTTAAACCCAGTGTTCCTGGGATATCTCTCTGTAGTTCTGTCTTCAATTTAAAACATTTTTATCTGAAAATGGCTCTTAAGGCAATTATGTATGTAAGCATGTAGCAAAAAAATCATCATAGTCCTGAAAAACACATTCGCTCTTTAACGAATGACAAAAGCACAAATGCATCAAATGCCATTATGTTCAGGTGATTACTTTGCCACTAGAGTCACTAAATTGAACACACACACACACACACCCCAGTAAACGTGCATGTATGCATGACCATAATCATGACAGTATGTACCACTCAGTATTCCACACATTATTTCCACTCAAGTTTATTTTTAGAAATTCTCATGTGTGAGATAATAACATTTATGGCATTTGGCAGATAAATGAGGCCTCAGAGCTAATCATGGGTTAGCTCGGGTATACAGAAAATGAAGTAGCTGGCTTCATCTCAAGAAGAAGCATGTGTTGACCTTCACAAATAAAAAAAAAGCAGAAGTGGATAGTTATGATTAATGTCTCTGGCCTATGTAGGAATGTAAATACAATGAAATAATGTGAGGATGTGACGTGAGTCTTGAGCAGCAAACAAATGACTAAACTGTGCATAATCAGAACAAGACCAGAAATTAAGATAGTATGCTTGATATTTGTGTAGAGGAACATGTGTTGGGACAAATCCAAGAATCTTAATCAGAGTCCATAGCAAAGATCAGAACACAAGCAGGCTTAATACAGGCCAATTCTTAAAACACAACTGAGGAAAGGGAACTTGCGTCAAAACTAGCAAGTACTATGAAACGTGGAGCACAGAACCCAGGCTTAGAATTAAAGTAACTAATAGCATGATAAGACTTCGCAGAGAACAATGACACACAGGTGATATAAAAAGGCAAACTAACACAAAACAAGTGAACACAAACAGGCAACAAACCAAAGACTGGATGGGGTGGAGAACAGAAACCAAAACAAACACTAGCACATGGCAAACCAAATCTAGTAATGTTATTGCTCTTCACAACACTGTTATTATCTTTATGTATCATGCCACAGGCCATCTATAAGATGGTGTCCTCTGTGATGAAGATGCCTGAAGACGAGTCCACACCAGAGAAGAGGACGGATAAGATCTTCAGACAAATGGACTTGAACAATGATGGTGAGATATGAAGCTGTACTTGGATATAGCTTTAAAATGTTTTTTTTTTGTATAAACCTCAAACTCTTAACTTCTTGGTCTCTCTACACAGGTAAGCTCTCTTTGGAGGAGTTCATAAAAGGTGCCAAGAGCGATCCGTCCATCGTGCGGCTGCTGCAGTGTGACCCCAGCAGTGCCTCGCAGTTTTGAGTCATTTAAGAAACAGGCGCTCTGTGCATGAAGGTTTTTCGTCTTTCATTGTTATTTGTGTTCCAGACGGAAGAATTTTAAGAGAAAAAAGTGCGTCAGTTTTACTTTTAGTTTCTTTGAGAAGGGACACACATACAGTACATCCGAAGAACAAAGACAACACCCGCAAAGACGTCTTTTGTCTGCTGCGCTTCGTCTGTCCGTGTCTCTGAGGCCCATGGAGCACTCAGCTCACGGTG